ATAGAACTAGAATAGAACTATTCCTCTATTTTATAATTAGAATAGAACTATTCTTCTATAACAGAACTAGAATAGAACTATTCCTCTATTTTATAATTAGAATAGAACTATTCTTCTATAATAGAACTAGAATAGATTACAGCTTTCAAATGGAGCTTGAATAGAATTTGGCTTCTCTGATGAAACTAGAGTTGAACTCTGCTTCTGTAACATGACTAGAGTAGAACACTGCTTCATACATGATTTAAAAATATCATCTGATTTGATTTTGATCATAAATCAAAAGACCGTTGGTTCATTACATACGGATGATTATATTTGATGTCTGTAGCATCTACTGGACTGAAAACCCTCTGCTCTAAAGATAGCACAAATATCACCCATATAAGATAGTGTTATTGTTTGCACATTCTGTGTTTGTTTTGGGAGCAGTTGTCTGTTTGTTTTCTATAAAGTACCACGTATAGCCTGATGTTGTCCTCCTGTAAAGGCAGATGTTGGTAGCGCTGTGCTTCTGATATCTCTGGCATTCATTCATAAACCTGCGCAGGATTTCTCTGAACGTTTCTTCAGGGATTCGGAGCTCTTGCCCGTGGCTGTGATTCAGGCCGACGCTGCGGTGAAATTGACTGTTACAATAAACCGCAAGAAGCGCTTCTTCTCCCACAGAAAGCATTGTGGGGCGCTGAATTATTCATGCTCGCTTTATTGCAGACCCAAGTTAGCATGCAAGTCTTTTCCATACGAGGAAGCCAGCACAGACTCAGCAGCTGATTCACGACAGTATAACGCACACTTTTACCTTCAGGAATCAGTGCAGTGTCTATATTTATTTGATCACGATTGATACTTAACAACATGAACTAATAATGAACAAGACTTGTGGAGCTTTTATAAATCATAGTTGAACATTTACTAATGCATTGTTAACATCAAAATTCATGCTTGTTAACATTACTTAATGCTCCGTGAGTTACAAACTAACAATGAAGGACTTTATTTCCATAGTTAATGTTAGTTAACACTGTAATAAATGTACTGTTCATTGTTTGTTCATGCTAGTAAATGCATTAGCTAATACAACTTCATTGTTACCATTTATTTTAAACATGCATCTTTTTTGTTACTCACATGCATTTATAATTGCATTTTAATAGTAGTTTTAATAGCATTTACTTGCATTTAATTGTCATTTAAACTTTTATATTTTAAAGATATTCATAGCTTAATAATAATCAGATAATTATGCATTATATATATATATATATATATATATTCAGTTAGGATCCCAAATAAAGTAGTTTATTGAGAAAAACATTTCTGAAATAATCCTGATAGATTCAATTGTGCCATGATTTGCAATAAAAAAATCATAATATCATAAAAAAATCATAATAGAATAAAATAAAATAAAACTGACTAAATAATTTAAAATTAAATCAAATTAAATTAAATTAAATTAAATTAAATTAAATTAAATTAAGTTAAATTAAATTAAATTAAATTAAATTAAATTAAATTAAATTAAATTAAATTAAATTAAATTAAATTAAATTACCAGAAATATATCTTCGTTTCGGTATATGTTTTGTGTTATTCACCTGTGCTATAATCGATACTACTTTATTGTTATATTCAAAAACATAATCATGGTGATAATATTGCAACAACATTGGTTAAAAAAAATAATAATAATTAGATTAAATTTGATTAAAATTAATTTAGATGTCCGCAACAATTAAAAATACACAAAAATAAAGTACAATAAATGAAACATAAATAATAAAATAAAAAAAATTAAATTAAAAAATTAAAATTAAATTAAATTAAATTAAATTAAAATAAATTAAATTAAATTAAATTAAATTAAATTAAATTAAATTAAATTAAATTAAATTAAATTAAATTTTAAAAAAATTTCGCTAACAATTAAAAATATAAAAAATTAACTACAATATATAAAACACAATTAATAAAATAAAATAAAATAAAATAAAATAAAATAAAATAAAATAAAATAAAATAAAATAAAATAAAAAAATATAAATAAAATAAAATAAAATAAAATAAAATAAAATAAAATAAAATAAAATAAAATAAAATAAAATAAAATAAAATAAAATAAAATTGTCTCTGACATTTTAAAAAAGCAAACAACTAAGTAAAATAAATAAAATGTAAATAAAAAAATAAAATATATATAGAAAGAGCAGTGTTATAATGAGCAAAGTGTTAGAAGAGCCGAGGTCTGCAGCTCTATTGAATGAGCAAACACTTGTCCCCTGTTTAATTCAAGCAAAATCAATGAAGATGACTTCAAACGTCACTTAGCCCAATTAGCGCCACCGCGGAAGTGTGAATCGATCCGCCAATGCGATTACAGCACCTGACTCTGTGCTCTGCTACTTATTAGTCATGATGTTACGCTCATATTTGACAAAGGATGTAGAATCGGCTGCAGATCAGACTCGCTGGCAGAACTAACAGGCTAATGTATAACGATAACGCTGTCAGATTACTGTGTTCTTATGAAATAGATATTTTTTGTGTAAATGGTCTGTAAGAATATGTTAATCTGTTAAAAAAAACTGTAAAAATGTTACACAGTAAAAAAATGGTAGTGATTTAATGGTAATAAACTGTAAAATGGGCATGATTTTAGCAATATAAAACGTAAAAATTATACACTGTAAAAAAATGGCTATGATTTTAATGATTAAAAAAAGTGTAAAAAAAAAAAAAAAACAATTATACACTGTGAAAATGACTGATTTTAATAGTTAAAAAAAATGTAAAAATGACTACGAGTTTAAAGTGGAAAACTGTAAAACAATATACTGTAGAAAATGGTCATGATTTTAGCAATAAAAATTTGTAAAAATGATATAATGTAAACAATGCCTGGGGTTTTAATGGTAAAAAACAGTAAAAAGGCTACATTTGAGATGGTAATAATGAAAAAAACTGTTAAAAAAAGATACACTCTAAAAAATGGGTCTGATTTTAAAGGGTAAAAAACTGCAAAAATGCTGCATTCTAAAAAAAATGACATTGGGTTAAATGGTAAAAAGAACTGTTAGCAACACTGTAAAAAAAAGGCAGTGATTTTAACGCAATTTTTTTTTGCAAAAATTAAACACTATAAAAAGCCGGCAGTGACTTTAATAGTGATGAGCTGTAAAAATGCTACAAGGTAAAAAAAAATAAAAACAAATAAATAAATAAATAAATAAATAAATAAATAAATAAATAAATAAATAAATAAATAAATAAATCGGCAGTGATGTTAATGGTAAAAAAAACTGTAAAAATGCTACACCATAAAAAAACTGCAGTGGTTTTAATAGTCATAGACTGTGAAAATGCTAAAATGTAAAAAATAAATAAATAAAAACTGCGTGCTACAAATGCTACAATGTAAAATAACTGCAGTGATTAAATGGAATAAACTGTAAAAATGCTACACTGTAAAATAACTGCAGTGATTAAATGGAATAAACTGTAAAAATGCTACACTGTAAAATAACTGCAGTGATTTATTGGTAATAAACTAAAAATGCTACACTGTAAAATAACTGCAGTAATTAAATGGAAATAAACTGTAAAAATGCTACACTGTAAAATAACTGCAGTGATTTAATGGTAATAAACTGTAAAAATGCTACACTGTAAAATAACTGCAGTGATTTAATGGTAATAAACTGTAAAAATGCTACACTGTAAAATAACTGCAGTGATTTAATGGTAATAAACTGTAAAAATGCTACACTGTAAAAATGCTACACTGTAAAATAACTGCAGTGATTTAATGGTAATAAACTGTAAAAATGCTACAATGTAAAATAACTGCAGTGATTTAATGGAAATAAACTGTAAAAATGCTACACTGTAAAATAACTGCAGTGATTTAATGGTAATAAACTGTAAAACTGCTACACTGTAAAATAACTGCAGTGATTTAATAGTAATAAACTGTAAAATGCTACACTGTAAAATAACTGCAGTGATTTAATGGTAAAAAACTGTAAAACTGCTACACTGTAAAATAACTGCAGTGATTTAATGGAAATAAACTGTAAAAATGCTACACTGTAAAATAACTGCAGTGATTTAATGGTAATAAACTGTAAAAATGCTACACTGTAAAATAACTGCAGTGATTTAATAGTAATAAACTGTAAAAATGCTACACTGTAAAAATGCTACACTGTAAAATAACTGCAGTGATTTAATGGTAATAAACTGTAAAAATGCTACAATGTAAAATAACTGCAGTGATTTAATAGTAATAAACTGTAAAATGCTACACTGTAAAATAACTGCAGTGATTTAATGGTAATAAACTGTAAAAATGCTACAATGTAAAATAACTGCAGTGATTTAATGGTAATAAACTGTAAAAATGCCACAATGTAAAATAACTGCAGTGATTTAATGGTAATAAACTGTAAAAATGCTACAATGTAAAATAACTGCAGTGATTTAATGTAATAAACTGTAAAATGCTACACTGTAAAATGACTGCAGTGATTTAATGGGAATAATCTACAAAATGCTACACTGTAAAAATGGCAGTAATTTTGATGGTGATAAACTGTAAAAAGAAATGCTACACTAAAAAACCTGCTGTGTCTTTTCCGATAAAAAAAGTGTAAAATGATACACTGCAAAAAAACAACAAAAAAACAAAACAAAAACAAAACAAACAAAAAAAAAACTGCAGTGATTTTAATGGTAAAAACTAAAAACGAGACACTGTAAATAACTGCAGTGATTGTAATGGCAAACTAAAAATGCTACACGTTTTTATGGTAATAAACTGTAAAACTGTTTAGACTGCATGTCACTGGTGCGATAAAGCAGGATTACTGTATGATGACGTCATGAAATAGCCAAGCGGTCTTAAACAATAACTACATTCCCAACAGTATGTCCGGTTTTCACACACATGCATGTGAACACATCATCCTTTCACAGCGTTTTTCCACCACTGGTCATACCTGAGCTCTCGAAGTCAATGTATGAAGCCTCCCAGGTCTCCGCCATCCCGATGAGTGTGTTTTCGATGATCTGCAGGTCAGTGGTGGGACAGTTGCATTGTGGGAACTCGTCTGCGCACTGGCAGATACACTGGCTGTTCTGGCAGATGTATTCTCCCTCGCCGTTACACATGATGTAGCTGAGAGCCGACTGCACAAACTTCTCCTGCAGGTACTCGGGGAAAATCACCTGCAAACCTGCAAACCGCAATAGAGAATCAATGTTAAAGTCATTACCCAGATCCAGAGACATTATTGATTTCACATCAGCGGGAAATAGGTTGAAAGTGCAGCAGATTGAAAGAAGCGTAATCTAAAAAAATGGCGTGATGTTAATGGTGTAAACTGTAAAAATGCTACACTCAAAATAGCTGATTTTAACAATACTGTAAAAAGGATTTGAAATTAATGGTGTAAAAAAAATACAATATAATAAAAATAAAATAATAAAAAATAAAATAATATAGCCGAATAAAATATAATAAATGATACAATCTACAAAAAATAAAAGAGTAAAAAATAAAATAAAATAGCCTAATAAAATATAATAAATGTTACATTAAAAAAATAAAACAATAAAATAAAATAAGCTAATAAAAATATTATAAATGATACAGTCTAATAAAATATAATAAATGATACAACCTAATAAAATAAAATAATAAAAAATTAAATAAAACAGCTTAATAAAAATATAATATGATGCAATCTAATAAAAATAAAAAATATATATAAAAATTTTTAAAAATAGCCTAAAAAAATAAAACAAATTATACAATATAATAAAAATGAAATGATAAAAATGTTAATAAAATACCCTAATAAAAATATAATAATAATACAATATAATAAAAACTAAATAATAAAAAATAAAAGAAATAAAATAGCCTATTAAAAATATTATAATTGACACAATATAATAAAAATAAAAGAATAAAAAATTAAATAAAAAATGCCTAATAACAATATTATAAATTATACAATCTAAAAAAATAAAAATAAATACTGGCTGTGATTTTAATGGTAAAAACTGTATAATCTAAAATATGTAAGTCTGTGCTTGTGTATTTTTTGTGTGTTCTTGTTTTCATATCCCATTGGGGACTTAAACCTGATTACAAACAGACTCATGGGGACCTGTGTGATTCTGTATGTGTGTGTGTGTGTGTGTGTGTGTGTGTGTGTGTGTGTGTGTGTGTGTGTGTGTGTGTGTGTGTGTGTGTGTGTGTGTGTGTGTGTGTGTGTGTGTGTGTGTGTGTGTTCTGCTGCCAATCGTGTTTGTTGAGGAAGTTTTGCCAGAGTTTTGTCCACTTGACTTTGAACTGTCCCCTCGGAGTGGGTGGACTTTACATAATGGAATAGACCAGAGGAGTGATTGATGTGTTGTGTCGTGATCGGCTTCGGCTTATTTACCAGGCCTGTCATAATACCATC